CCACTGGCTCGCCGCTTGCGACATGAACTTTCACGAAACAACAATTTCACACCGTGTGCAAGTTCAGTTTGGCTTTGGCACAATATATAATATTAACTGACAACTATCCAACAAATGAGCGGAGTTTAAAAGCTAAGTTTACTGTGTGCGCTCTTAGTTTTGTATCTTTTTCACTGTCGACAAGACTCGCTGCAATAACAATGTAAAAGTTGCAGACATTTTGTAGTTTTGTTAAGGTGTACCGCTGACCGGCAAAATACTGTATCGCGCCCCAAAAAACGTATTTCCGCGGTGACTTCCGCTTTTCCTAGAAATTTGTATTAAATTAGCAGCCATCATAGCTCAGAGTAAAAGCTTTTATGATGATATTAAGAAGGAAATAGAATGCCCAGTGTGTCAAGAGCAGTTCAGCGACAGCAACGAACCGAAAGTCCTTCAGTGTCAACACACATTCTGCAAATCCTGTTTGGAGGGTTGGTTACGGCAACATCATGCAAGAGCGCTGACTTGCCCGAACTGTCGGCAGAGAACTGAATGTCCCAACAACAACATCGACTGCCTACCATCCAACCTTACATATAAAAATCTGATAGATATTTTAAAAACGTACAGCAGGAATGGAGATCACGGGGAAACGTTTTGTGAGCGTCACAAGGAGAAGGTCAAGTTTTACTGCGAGCAGTGCGAGATTTGCATTTGTTCTGATTGCGCCATATTGGATCATCGCGATCGGGATTGTCACAACATCATTTCGCTTGAAGAGGGAGCAAAGAAGCAGAAAGCAAACATTGAGAGAAAGATAACAGCGCTTTCAGCGAATAGCTCTCGTTTAAAAAGCTACGCTTCTCTTCTGGAGAAACGAAGAGCGCTAACGAACAAAAGTATCGAGGAAGCGACGGAAGAAGTCCACAGGGTAGCTGAACGCTGCATAAATTCGATCCGCCAACACGAATCAAACGTGACGGAACTGTTACAGACGCAGAAGTCAAGTTGCAATGATGAGTACTCCAAGGAGCTGTCTAAACTAACCGAAAAGATACGACAAACGAAGAATGTCGCGGCCCAGAGCAAAAATGTTCTTCAATGGAATAATTTACAGGAAATGTTGAACATAAAACAAGTGCTTGATGAAAGAATTGCCGAGGAAGTTTTACCGGTGCTTACTTATCCTGAGTTTAAGTACATTTCAGATGATGCTTTGTCCCTACATTTTACTCCAGGACAGCTCTATGTAACCAACACCGAGCCGTCACTGTCTGTCGCGACAGGTAATGGGTTGACCAAAGGTACGCAAGGCAAAAAAGGCACTTTTACAGTAACAACAAATGATTCAAAGGGCCAAGCAACCTACAGTGAAATCGACAATGTCCGTGTCGACATCAAATCCAATCAATGGGAAATTGAAGATATTCGGTCCGTTGCGAAGGACTTGAAAAATGGCCATTATTCTATATCTTACACTCCAAAGGTTGCTGGAAATTTCAGTGTGTCCATCAAAGTAAGAGATGAGCCAATCAAGGAAAGTCCATTTACATTGGTGATTACGAAGAATAATGGCAGTCTAAAGCTGGGTAAGCATAGGCTTGTAGATTTTAACGTAATACGTCATGCATGCTGGCAGTCTCGCACCTTGGGAAAGGGCGGAGGAACCTTTTTACCCAGAGAAAAGGCGTACATTGAAAGCCGCTTTACTACCTGAGATGTAACGCTTTGCATAGCGCATGAGATTACAGCGCTACCTGATATAAATAACAAACTAAGATGGCGAGCTCGAGATTCTAAGTATGAGGTGTTTCCAGGAAACTTCGAGAAATGAGAGAAGCTCGACCTTTTGTGAACAACCTTCTCAATGCAATGCATGGCTGATAGTGCACAATAGCTCAGTTTAGATTAGGGCGTTTGTATCACTATGGTATAATTGTAAGACTCAACTAATTGCTGTTTATTTTTATTATTATTATTATTTTTTCTAATTCAGATAGACAGGTTAACAAACATTTGATCGAGAAGGCGGGTTTTGACTAAGCTAACCTCAACAGTAAATAAACGTAAATATTATTTAGGGAAATCTTATTCTGTTTGAGATGAGTGAGATAGGCAAGTGTTCCAGATAGGGGAAGTCTACTGGAGCCAAGAAATGTTTAAGCAAGATGTAATCTCTGAAATTATTTTATTATTTACGATGATTCGGTATTATAGTAGGGTGACACACAGCTTACTAAAGTAAGATATCGAGAAAATGGAAAAGCAAAATTGTTTCCTCAGTAATATCAGTCGTTTTGTGGTAGGCTCTCGGTCAGTGGAAAGAAAAACTAGTGGCTGGGGGTTTGGGGGAGAAAAATAAAGGAATGGTCGGTTCCTATTGGGTAAAATTATAATTTGAAAAGCTTAAAAGTGAGTTTTAAAGGTTTAAATCAATACATTGCCGTGTACGATCGTGCGATCGGCCGCACCTGAAGTCGACAATAACAAAACAAACAGAAAAACAAACAAACAAAAACAACAACATCAAAAACAGACGTTAGTCGTCTCTTCTAAGACCTATTTACAAACACTGATAAGTGCCAAAGGCGTACTGGATAACCCAGAGTCCTTGTGATGTGTTCGTGATTCATCTCGTGAGACATTTTTGTTTTGTTGGCACGATTTAACACATGTGTACATTCCTCTCCAGGTGCCCCACTGGAACTAGTATCGCAACCCTATGGCTATGTCCGAGAGTGCCAAGTACCACGTACAAGTACCGGGACTCATGGTAATGAAATAACCCTTTATAGTATATACACACTCAGCGATCTTGATTTTGCAAGCAATCTAATTGGTTCGCTATTTCGGGCTAATGAGCATTCTTCACCTCTTAGTGAGTGAATAATGCATGACACTCGCGTTTCGCCAGTGTCCTGAGAATACAGGAAGATGCTGTACCAGAAAATACAAAGAAGGCTATGAAATTTGGCCCGAAAGTTTTCAAAGGATAGAAAAAACTTATCGATGTTCGACTTTCGAGCAGTTTCAGGAAATGTCCTTGGCAATCACTGATTTCATCAATTTAAACAAACCCGACCGACAAGTCGCTTTTCACTCGGCATTGGCAGAAATAAATGCCGCAAGTTTCTTCGGCAGAAGCATTAAGTGCTATTCAACGAAGCACGTCCACAAGTTTTCAGGAGAACGTCTTTGTAGAAGAAAACATCCAGTCCTGCTCACACGCGGTATAATTTCCGGTTGATCTTTCGCCAACTGCTCTTTCAGTCTCCATTTCAAGTGGAAATGAAAACATTGAAAATATTTTGCAAGCAGACTTTTGATTTAAATTGCTGATTGGACGGTGTTAAAGGACCATTTTGCTAAATTGTGACGAGGATTTTATCGAGGATTAACCAGGTTTTTCATGTTTCAAGGTTATGTAAATACAGCTTTGCACATGCTTTGTACCGCTTGCATGTCAGTGCCAGGCACGTATGGGTTGAAAGGTCAATTAAATCGACTTTTAATGGTTTCCCTCTTAAAATGTTGAGATCGTCTGTTGTTGAGACACTTCGTCTGTATATACTAAAACAATTATCCTTTTTAATCTCGGGGAATAGCAGCAGAATATTTACCTCTCCACTCTGCCACTATTCACCTCGATTTCAAAGAATAATTCTTAATTATCAAACTTGTCTTTATCTGTTTTATGTTTGAAGGAAGGGGTTAATTAGCTGTCGATTCAAGGAATCATGATGCACAAATCCGTGCTATCGATTTGCAATGTGCCGGTGAAACCAACTTAAAGAAGCAGAAAGCTGTCTTTTTCGGCCAGATTCTTGACAGAATCGTCG